TCCTGACTGCTTCAAAATAAAATAATAATACAGTACTGATAAAAGTTTTAATAAGCATAAATCGTTTGTATAATAGAATTGTGTGTGATGATCAATTACACAATAGAAATAGTTTCATAAATAGAAAAATTCAGTATAATTTGAATAGTTAAGTAAAAATAAAGTTGGCTCTCTCTCTCTTTCTCTATATATATATATATATATATATATATATATATATATAGCAAATTCAGGTATTCATCTGACTGGCTATACCTGCCAGTTTCTTACACACTACAGTCATCAGGCAGCTGGTATGAATTTTGAAGATTTGGGAACTTATGCCTACTCAGCTGGTGCAAGATATTACAGTAAGGGTAGTTGGTGAGTGTGCATAATGCACTCATCAACTAAAATCATCAAGTGGAAAAATACCTATGCTGCAAATGATGGATTGGCCAAATATCAACTTATCTGAGGAAGGGAGAGAGGAAAAAACAAACCTGGCTTGCTTTATTGTTCAGCTATGAAGAGCTTGACAATCAAGCAAAATTCTAATTGCCTTTATAGCATACTCATTTGTTCAGATTTTCTCAAAAGGCATATCTGCTGTTTTGTATCCAAAATCAGTAAATGAAGTAATAAAAATATATATAAATGTGTGTGTGAGTGAGTGAGTGAGAGAGAGAGAGAGAGAGATATCATAATATATGTAACAGTTAAAATTGCTTTAAAATATTCTTTTAACAAATCAAATTAGGTAAAAATATTATAATTTTATAATAATAGATCTCTTCAATAATTCAAATATCGTTACAATTTATAAGGTTTAGCTGTAGGTTGAGTATGGATACGTGAATTGACCCAAAATGAATTATTCTAAACAAAACACATCACAGACAAGCTAATATACTGACTTCAAACATTTTTTTCTTGAAGAAAAATCAACAAATCAATTTAAAAATTGAATAATATATATGAACTATACTAGGAGCTATGAAAATTTTTAATTCTTTAATTAGGTTCCAAAACTTCTCTATTCTAACTATATTTTTTTTCATTAATAATTTCATATATATATATATATATATATATATATATATATCTCAAGATGAATATTTTAAACAAATTTACTAAAAATAAGTTTCCCACTAACTTTATAAATAAAAATTTTGTCCTAAGGGTTTCTTAAAGTACTACAAAATAAGTAGGCATTGTGCCAGGGTAAGTTATTTTTTCCTTCTTTTTCTAATTGACAACTGCTTCAAACTTTTTAATGAGAAGCTTTGCTGCATAGGGTCAGATTTAAGCTCACCCAGATGCTGCTAATATTCTTTTGAAGTAGAACTGTTATTAACCAACAGTAATAAATGTCAGATTGGCTAGAAATATTGTCTGCATAGTAATTTTATAATTATAGCTGATCACACAACTAAAAGGACTGTTCTGTAGAACTAGAAATCCAATTACAAAAATAATACTGCCGAAACTAAGCACGTGCCATTTATTATACATTTTTGGTGATTTTTTTTTCTTCATCTTTATGCTTTTTATCAAAATTTTTTTGGTTGAATATCCTTCAACTGTTAAAATAAGTAGAGCATGAAGTATGAATAATGGAGCAACTTTTAATGAAACCAGAATTTGCATTATTCCCTATCCTGAAAGTTTATCTTCCATAAGTTACACTGTAATCAGTTTAGCCATGGAAGCTTACAAATCTAGTCATTTTCTGGCTTAATATTTTAAGTTTCTGATTTGAAAAAAAAAAAAAAAAAAAAAATTGTTTTTAAATGGCAACATGACTAGATTTGTATTTGGTCTTTGTGGTTAAGGTATCACCCACAAAAATGCTTTCCTAGGATTTAGGAGTTTTATTATTATTACTTCATACTACTTAAACTAAAGTTTCTACTTTAGTTTATTTGTTGTCATACCCAGGGTATAAGGATTAAAATATAAATTCAAAATAGAACATCTAACAATATCATGAAGTATATACAATGAAGTGCAATTGCATAACTTGAAAAACATTTTGATGTCTACTTTCATGTCGTAACGTTCAAAGTTACATAGATCGAGTAATCTGGGTAGCATAAATTTCTGTTCTATTCTTAGTTTGTTATATTCTCTTATATTCTTATTCTGTTGTATATTCTATTGTTATATTCTACTATATCTTAGTAAATTGGTAAGCATGCAGAATTAATTTATTTTATATTCAGAATACAGTTTATTTGGTTATATTCTATTACATTATTATATTCTGTTAAATTTTATTAACATGGCTACCATGCGGAATATTTTTTGGCTATATTAGTTTTGTTATATTCTCTTATATTCTTATTCTGTTATATTCTCAGTTTTGTTAAATTCTGCTTTATTCTTATAATGTTATATTCTTCTATTATATTCTTCTTTATTCTTGTTTTGTTATATTCTTATTCTGTAAATTTCTTTGTTTGGCTATATTCTTCTTTATTCTTTTATTCTGTTATATTCTGTTATAATCTTATTCAGT